TAAAAAAATTAAATCATATTTCTATGAATATTTCTTTTTTTTTAGTTTTTCTAATAATGCAGGGTGCCACAGGATTTTAAATTTCGGGATTCTGATTTTTCGGGATTTTAAATTTCGGGATTCTGATTTTTCGGGATTTTAAATTTCGGGATTCTGATCTTTGGGGATTTTAAATTTCAGGATTCTGATTTTTCGGGATTTTAAATTTCGGGATTCTGATTTTGGGATTTTAAATTTCGAGATTCTGATTTTTCGGGATTCTGATTTTGGGATTTTAAATTTCGAGATTCTGATTTTTCGGGATTTTAAATTTCGGGATTCTGATCTTTGGGGATTTTAAATTTCGGGATTCTGATCTTTGGGGATTTTAAATTTCGGGATTCTGATTTTTCAGGATTTTTAAATTTCGGGATTCTGATTTTGGGATTTTAAATTTCGAGATTCTGATTTTTCGGGATTCTGATTTTGGGATTTTAAATTTCGAGATTCTGATTTTTCGGGATTTTAAATTTCGGGATTCTGATCTTTGGGGATTTTAAATTTCAGGATTCTGATCTTTGGGGATTTTAAATTTCGGGATTCTGATTTTTCGGCTTTTAAATTTCGGGATTCTGATTTTGGGATTTTAAATTTTGAGATTCTGATTTTTCGGGATTTTAAATTCCGGGATTCTGATCTTTGGGGATTTTAAATTTCGGGATTCTGATTTTTTGGGATTTTAAATTTCGGGATTCTGATCTTTGGGGATTTTAAATTTCTGGATTCTGATTTTTCGGGATTTTAAATTTCTGGATTCTGATCTTTCGAGATTTTGATACATTCTGGATTTCAGGTTTTCAACATTCGGGATTCTAAGATTCGGGATTATAGCCCAAACCCACTATATATCCTTATAATATGCAATCACTCCTTTTACGCCAACTTCATTCATTAATCCTCTACTTTGAGTGGCTCCCAGGATTTGCATTGAGTATAAAAGAATTTTAATTAAAGATTTTTAATTAAAGCCATTGAAGTAATTAGTAATATATTTTTTTTATCTATTATTAAAAAAATGCTTCAATTATTTTTTAAATGTCTGAAGCGAATATTGTCAATTATTCGATTAACCATTTGGGCGTATCCTCAACTTTTTTGCTTCTATGACTACATTTCAATTGGTTGGCTTTCGGCCCTCATCTGTTGCATGTGAAAAAAATATATAGAAACTATTTCTACCGGCGTGCGCCAGATTGCCCAATTCACCTGATTCACCTAAGAATCCCAGTAACTGTGTGTTTACCCGAGTAGATGCATACTTATGGCTGATACGAGATGGTCATTTTATCGAGTCGATATTTCTAGACTGGTTGCCAACCAAGGCTAAAAAATTCAGTCTGCCTTGTTATTCAACCCATTGCTTGGCGTGAGAGGATATTGTCTCGACTGTCGATTAGTTGTCCTACGGCTATTGTCTGAGATGGACGTTACACTAAGGAAGCGTATAAAAATTGTAACGTGGCAGCGAGCTAATCAAAGTACTATGGTCTTGCCCGGAAACTCTCCCGGGTTAAATCCATTCGAGAATCTGTGATCAATCTGCAAGGAACGACTTTACGGAAAGGACATACGAAATATTAACATGTGCATTGGGTCAGGTTTCATTGGAAAATTGTGAAGAAAAAGTAAATAATATTGGAATTATTCGTTTTGTTTTAATCAATTTGCACAAGGTTGTATATGTTTCTTTCCGGTTTCTTTATATAATGTGTTGTATATGGCATTTCTATGTGGTATAATGGTTAACAAGCTTGTCTTGCTAAAGTAATTACAACTCATTAGTGATTGCATTTCTCACCAGTAGTTCAACACTTCCGGCCTTGTGCTACATCTAAGCTGCGTTTAGAAAATCATTTTTCGACCTTGTGCCACAATCTAAGCTTCGCTTAGAAAATCACTAAACATATGTTATATAACTGTGAAACAGAGACTCAAACATTTTCGGCTCAAGTTGAAACCTTCCAAAACAATATAATGCACACAACATCACAGACGTTAGACATATTGTAAATCACAGCTGATAGACATATTGTAAATAACCGCTCTTAGAAATATAACCAATTTATTTACCTAAACACTACAATTAATATCCGTATCAAATCCTTCAAACTATATGGACCTATTAAGAGATCTAGTGCAGGGCGATGACATAATTCGGTGGTTACCAATTAATGAGTAGAAGACAAGAAATAAGCTTGCATAAGAGAGTAATAATTGATAGGAAATATTTTCCCTCAGTTCATAATCGAATCAATGAACCTTTTTTATGATTCTGTTTCTCCAAAAAAGCTAAAACGATTTTATTAAAGGCCGTATTTGAAAAGCATTGAATTTGGCAATATTCTTCTGAATATTCAAATATAAAGAATAATTCTATGTCTTATTTGGAATTTATATAAGTTTTATATTGATAATAATAATTTATATAGAAGTTTCATATTAACAACAGTGGTTTATACAAGTTTGATATTGACACTAATAATTTATATATAAGTTTCATTTTGACACTAATAATTTATATATAAGTTTCATATTGACACTGACATCTTATATGTAAATTTCATATTAATACTAATAATTTATATATAAGTTTCATTTTTGACACTAATAATTTATATATAAGTTTCATATTGAAACTAATATCTTATATGTAAGTTTCATATTAATACTAATAATTTATATATAAGTTTCATATTAAGATAAATAATTTACATATATAAATTTTGTATTGATATTAATAATTTATATATAAGTTCCATACTGACAATAATGATTAATACAAGTTTTATATTGACACTAATAATTTATATAAATTTCATATTGATTAATAATTTACATAAATTTATATTGACAATAATAATTTATATATACAAATTTCATATTGACATTAATAATTTGTATATAAGTTTCATATTGATACTAATATTTTTATATGTAAGTTTCATATTAATAGTAATAATTTATATATGATTTATATTGGCACTAATAATTTATATAAATTTCTTATTGGCACTGATAATTTATATTTAAATTTTATATCGATATTAATAATTTGTATATAAGTTTCATATTGACAATAATGATTCATACAAGTTTTATATTGACACTAATATTTTATATAAATTTCATATTGACACTAATAATTTATACATACAAATTTCATATCAACGTCAATAATGTATATATATATATATATGTTTTATATTGATAATAATAAACTATATGTTTCATATTAACACTAATAATTTATTTATATTGTTTAATATTGATACTAATAACATATATATATATAAATTTTATATCGACATTAATAATCTATGTATAAGTTTCATATTGAGACCAATATTTTATATGTATGTTTCATTTTAACACTTATAATTTATATAAATACCTTTTATATCGATATTAACAACTTATATATGTTTCATATTGACAATAATGATTCATATAAGTTTTATATTGACATTAATAATTTATATAAATTTCATATTGGCACTAATAATTTATATAAATTTCACATTGACATTAATAATTTTATGTTTCATATTGATACTAATGATTTATATGGATTTCATATTAACACTAATAATTCATTTATAAGTTTCATATTGATACTAATAATTTATATGTTTTATATTGACACTAATAATTTATATAAATTCATATTAACACTAATAATTTATTTATAAGTTTCATATTGATACTAATGATTTATATATGTATAAGATTCATATTGATAATAATTTATATTAATTTCATATCAACACTAATATTACCTTATTAACGTCTATTTTACAAGGCAATATGCATACTCGATATCCTCGGGGCTTTCACTCGGACTAGACTGACCAATAAATTTTAATATAAAGTTTTCTCTTTAAAAAAAAAAGTCTGTTTAAGAACGTCGTGTCTATCTTCCTTATCATCGCAATATTTACTTATTACTTTCTCTAATATTCTGTTACTCTCTACCACGAGTGACTCCTGAGCCTTGCCTTGTATTGGGTGAAACTTACTATAAAAAGAAACGTCAGTAGCCCAGTATTTAATGTTTCATATCACATCACTGACTGATTTCTCTAAAAACTTTGCTCGGGCGTCAACAGGACTTAAACCATGAACTTTATGCCTGGCATTTTTAATCATTATAATTTAGCTTTTACATTGAGACTTATTAATATCTTAAAACATTCGACTGATATCTAATTGATAGTCCTCACTTGAAACAGTCACTTGAAGCACTATTTCTTGTTAATCGATGCTATGAGAAACTTTGTTGCTGGCCTTATCGTACAAAAGATATTCGTTTGTCCTTGACTGTCCACTTCTGATATTAAACATCTATCTCACTTTAGAGTTTCTAGCGGTAAAAAGAAAAAAAATGACCAATCACATGCTGAATTATTTTATATAATAAATAGAATCTGTGTCAGGAAAATGTACATTAAATTGCTAGACGTTCGGACATTATGGCCGGCTGTTTAATAAAAATTCATTTTTATTTTAAATTAATACAATTTTTGTAGATGTTCAAAAGCAAAATTTTAAAAATAATAATATTAACTTGTTTTAATTGTTTGTAATTTAATAACTTATATTGATAAATTTTAATAGTCTATGTTGATAAATTTTATTAGATTGTATCGATATGTTTTATAGGTAGTATTAATAATAAGTAATAATGCTGTAAACCGACAAGCTTTTTTGATTGGTTTGTTTTCTACGCCTTATCAACCTCTTGCAGGTTATTTAAAGCCAGAAAATATTTTTTGAGATAATAATGGTTTTAGTGATACAAGTCTTACTAATTAACCCATAGCTGGGAGGAGAAGAGGTGGATTCATACCTTGACCAAGGTTATTTGCGCGTAAGTGAATATAACGAACCCAACGAGAATTTGAACTCAGCTCTCCGATTAACAATTCCGAGCCCTTATCCATTACACCACCCGCACATCTAAGCTTACAGCACCTGGTATTCCCAAGCGGTCATCCATCGAGATACTGACCAGGCTCGACGTTGTTTAACTTCAGTGGTTGTACGGGAACCGGTCTGAGAAGCTTTGAAGTTGATAATGAATTCATAAAATGTAAGGTGCTGTACTGATAAACTTTGATGGGGGTGTATTAGTAATAGGCTATATTAATAAGCTTTAATAGGTTCTGTTGATAAACTTTAATGACTTACATTTTAATTAGCTGTATTGAGAAGATTTAAGAGCTTATATGAATAAAAATTTAATGTATTGATACATTTTATTGTATTGCATTGATAACATCAATGGATTATATTAATGGGTTGTGTTGATAAACTGTAATGGGTTGTACTGATAAATTTAATGGGATGTAGTGATAAAAATTAATGGGATATAGTGATAAAAATTAATGGGATATAGTGATAAAATTTAATGGATTTTATTGATACAATTTAATGAGTTCTATTGATAATTTTAATGGACTGTAGTGATAACATTTAATGGGTTTTATTGATACAATTTAATGGGTTATATTGATAAATTCAAAGGAAAAAATGGATATTAATTGCTAATCGTTTTCATGAACGAATGATTTCCAAGCCTTTATGACCAACAAAAGAAAAAAATTAACCAATGCATCTGGGACCTGTTTCCGCTATTTTCAACTTGATATATTCTTTCGTGTGTTTACACACTACACCTGAAACATTAAAAATAAAAACACAAAAATATCTAACACTTCAATTAAAATCATTTTTGCGTTTTTTTGTTTTTTGTTTTTTTTTTGCAGGAATAATTTGAACATGTTCCAATTTAATTTTATTCTGACAAGTTCCATTTTAAATGACATTTCAGTGTTAAAAATAGTTTATAAAACATTTGGTAGATAAATATAGCAAAATAAACACAATTTATAATATCTGAAAAATATCGATTTTCATTTTTTTATCAGCGATTACGTCCAAATTCAGAAAGTTTAAAAACTTTTACTGAAAAACTTTTGTCATGGACATTTCAAATATTTCAGTTAAATAAAAATTTAAAGATTAATGACTTAATAGACATTGCTTTGTTATATTAATCAATTTATCAACGTAACTAGATGAATATCAGGACAAATTATACATAAAGTCTGTTCCAGAAGAACGATTTGTTTGAAGGAGGAGTTTTTCTTGACGAATCGGCTGAACATTCTGGGCTGTAAAATGGTCCTCCAAATTTTACTTGAATTGGTTTATGATGTGTCTTTGAGGCACGTTTTGCTATGATTTTTGGTATTTACATAAACGCATCCGTCCATCCGTTTTTTTTCGGGGGATCATAACAATAAACGGTCATAAGAATACGATTCCAGAAATGCCACTTGAAGGATCAGTGGATTTCCAGGTTTTGTTCTTATAATAGTTTCTTCTACCACAATTAAAATGCAGCCGATATATATTTTTTTTTATATAAACGCATGTTTGATTTTTTGTTATATATATATAGAGAGATATCAAGGACAGGAAAAGGAAGTAATTTTATTTCAAATTATTATATTTTACTGTATCATTGTAATAACTTTTCTCACTTTCTGCACAAACACACACCTACACACACACCCGCGCACACACTTATATATATGTATAATATATATAAGCAAACACATACACGCACACACGCATATATATGTATAATATATATAAGCACACACACACACACACACACACACACACACACACACAGAGACACACACACACACACATATATATATATATATATATATATATATATATATATATATATATATATATATATATATATATATATTTGATAAAATAAATTGATCATTGCGTTTAGCATGAAATATGTCACCTCTGGGCGTTGGCTTCAATGTTCACTTTTATATATATATATATATGGATGTACGTTTTCTCTGCAGGTGTATATATATAAAGATGGAAATACACATATGGTCGTTTCGTGTGAATGTGTATGTAGGTGTATATAGGAACTCATAGATATATAAGAAGATATAGGTATGTGGTTACAAATAGAGGTTTAAGACATGTGTAGATAAAAAATTGTAAAAGAAGGACCTAATTTTCTGCTAGTGACATCTCTTCCAAATTTCTCCTCTAATATTCTCCAATTGGAAGTGAATTTTAAATAACACGAAGGGAAAGTTTAGATTGGTAATTTAATTGAGATCGAAAGACACTACCCCAGTGTGGAGAATAAAATTATTTAAATGGGAATAACAGTTGATAATTGGGTACATAAAAACAATCACGAGTTTACTTAATGAACAAAAATAATCACGAGTTTACTTAATGAACAAAAATCAAACGAATAGATGTCAACCTAACAAGCTATAAGATAAAAGTTTTAGGAAAAAAAAAAAATTACTAAATATAAAATGGATTGCTCTTTCAATGTTCTGTCTATGGATTTTTCCAATCGATTGTTTCATAGAAAATACCCAAAACTCCACCGAATTTCAAATTAATTTCTTCGTAGATTGTTTTAACATTTGGATATTTATCAAACCTTAACCTCCCAAATATGCACGTTAAAGTAACGCGAACTGACAGCGTCTAAGAATTTGAATGAAACCTGTCGTGTAATTTATTGGGGTTGTTGTAAATTCTTCCTTTAATGTCGTTCTTATCATTCACCCCTTAGCCATCTATATCTAGAGACGAGACGCGTTAAATTTGAGCAACATCTAGCCGACACACTGGGGTTAAAATAGGAAACTAAAATGATACATATGACACACTAATATCCTCTCTCCCACCTCACTTCCTCACTTCGTTAACTTTACGTAGACTTGATGAGGTCCGTAAAAAACGTGTGAATTTCTTTTCATTTTTCATTTCAGCTTTTGGAAGTAAAGTCTGATGATCCAGAACCCAGTTAAAGGGGTTATGGTGAAATAGCTTATTACATGGAATCTTAACGGGGTCTGTCTTTTATTCAAACATATCTGCTCTGAATTTCACATTGAGCTCTCTGGATATCATCCTCCTCAGGTCTACCCATACGGATTACCTAAGTTTACATAAACTATATATATATATATATATATATATATATATAGTTTTAAGGTATGTTATATTTATTGGTTAAAGTGCTCCATATCAGTGGCAGAGCGTATGTAAATATAAAACTAGACATTAAAGTCAACGCCAAGTGCCTCTGGGTGTTGACTTCAATAAATATGTTATGTGTGTGTGTGAATGTGTGTGTGTGTGTGTACATTAATGTATATTTGAGCAGCAACCTTACTTTCAAACATCTTTTATTAAATGCGTCCGAACAATGTAAATAGTGTAAATAATAACTCATCTCAGAATATATATATATATATATATATATATATATATATATATATATATATATATATATATATATAATTAAATATCAAGCTTTGTTTCATTCTCTAGCGAAATGTTTGGAATCTTTTGGGTGATTCCAAAAATTTCGCTTGAGGATGAAACAGAGCTTGATACTTAATTCAATTAAATTTTAATAATTATATTGAGTTTTGGCTCTTGATTTTGAAACATGAGAACTCTTATGTAGCGAAGGAATCATACTTTTTTAAAATAATTATAATTTAGGGTCTACATTTGTATTGAGCACTGTTTTTTTGGTTTTGGGTTTTTTTAAATAAAAAAAATACTAAAAAACTTCGGATTATTTACCTAACGTGTTCTTTCCTATTTTTCAACATATCTGCACGCACACACACACACACACACACACACAAACAAACACACACACACACACACACACACACACATATATATATATATATATATATATATATATATATATATATATATATATATATATATATATATATATCAGCAAACAAAATTAAATGTTCTATTCAACATATCTTCCCCGACACGGAGTTTCGTGCATACGGTATCCACTCGTCTGTGGTTTTATGGTAAAATTGAACTTACTCGTGATATTGTACACTTGAATGACAAAAACTGCTTGCCTTAAAAGGCTTATCCTACACCGGCCGATCGTTATTTTCTTGTTTTTCCTTTGTATTTTTTGGTTCTTTTCTTTTTAAAAACTCGGTCTTTGATATATAGGTATATAGGAATCTCTGAATCTGTGTATGTATGTGTACACTATGATTTCATACGACGGTCTTGCAATAGGATGATTTATTCCTTATCGAAACTCTGAACAAAAACTTCTTGAAATGAGTCGCATATACCGAGAGATATACTAAAAACTAGTCTTTTAAATAGAAAATTCCTGAATTGCTTCAAACTTTGGACCTTCTTGATTTACGAGATTAGACGGAAGAAAAGATTTACCAAAATCGGAAAAAGAAAAAAAAGAAATATAATAGAAAAGAGAGAAGATAACGTTTAATGGTTGCTTCCGTAAAATAGAAAACATTGTCTGTTTTTTAATCTTTCTATTTGTACCCTCCTCTTTAAATAATTAACATAGTTCTGATTCTTATTTTAATATTTTATTAATGTTGCTAAGCTCAAATATTTAACGATGCAATAAGAGACTTTCCTCGGGTACTCTATAGCCGTGGAACTCTCAAGGAGCTTATTCAATCATTAAGAATTATGATTCAGAGACGGATACGCAATGTAATTGGCCCTGATCTGGCATCTCGTTTACATTCGCTTTCTCACAGACCTGCCGTCGCTTCCCTCTGTCTTTTCTACAAATACGTTCACGGTACCTGCTCCGATGCTAGTTCCCAAACTGCATGAATTTAAACGTGCTACTAGGTTGGCATTTCAGTCCCACCCTTTCACTGTCGAAACGGTTAAATGTAGCCGTCTCTTCTACTCCAATAGCTGCATGTCACGCACTTCCCGTCTGTGGAACTCCCTTCCTGTTACTTGCTTCCCTGATAGATATAATCTCCAAATATCCAAAAGCAATGTCAAAAATAGGAAGACCTTGATAGTTTCACTGATATTTTCTCGTTCTTTTATTATTATTTTTTCCCTAAAAGCAATTTTTTATTTAAGTCAGTTATTTATTTTTCTCTTTGTTTTCCCAAATTTGATTTCCTACAATATATTTTGTTTATTTTTTCTTTTGTGTGGCTTTCTGTTATTTTCGGCGAAATTCATTCAGGAATTCATTTATTCGCTTTTGTCTATATCACTTTGCACTCCCGCCTTTTTTATCATTAAAATTCTCTTTCCCTCTCTCTATTATTGTATTTCTATTTCTCTCTCTCTCTCTCTCATTCTTTCTTTTTCTTTCTTTCTGTATATCTATGTTTCTTTCTTTCTTTCTTTCATTTCCTTTTTCTTTTACATCTTTCTCTTTATATTGCTCCATAGAACATTTATCGAAGCATTTCCCATTTTTCTAAAATATATTTTCTTTCTTTCTTACTATTTCCCTTATTTATTTATTTTTCTTTTTATTTACAACGATCATATTAATTCTCTTTTTCTACTTTCCACTTTATCTCTCTCTCTTTTTATTCTTCAATCTATTTTTCCTCTTTCTCTTCCACTTTCTTTTCCTCTTTCTCTAATCTTTTGTTGCTCTTCTTCTTGTTTCTTTTTTCCATCTTTCTGTTTATATTCAAACATTTCCCATTTTTAGAGAAAAAAAAATGAGTCAATGCATTTTTCTTCTTTCGCTGTCTCTTTCCTTTTTATTTCCTTTCCTTTTTCTCCTTTCCTGCGATCGTCATAATTCCCTTTCCACTTCCCCTCCCCTTTCTCTCTTTATTCCCCAATCTCCTTTCTTCTTCCTCTTCCTATATTCCTCTCTTTCTCTTCGTTTTTCTGCTCTTTTTTCCTCCTTTCTCTTTATATTTATTTCCTAATCTCTTTTATCGTTTCCTATTTTTGTTAAAAATGGCTGCCTGTTTTCTGTTTGTTTGTTTTTTTTTTTGTTTTTTTTTTCACGGTCTCTTTCCTCTTTATTTATTTACTTTTCTCCCCACCCCCGCTTTACTGCGATCAATTCTCTTTCATTAAAAGATATTTGCATATCCGACAATTCTGTTATCATGTCTCTCGAAGTGTCTGCATTGTTACGAGACTGTTTGCTTAATAGTTAATTTAACTGTAACGTTTACTGCTTAATACACATTTTCTCATTGATAGCCAGGTTTCCCAAACATACGTCGTCTGCTCTGTCATTTTCAACGTCGACTACAAATGTGTCGCCATTATCTGGATGGGGGGCGGTGGTGGTGGTGGTGGCGGTGGTGGCGGTGATGAAGGCACGGATGTAGAAGGGGTCTCTACTGTGGATGATGACGGCAACTGCGGTGGAGGCGGTGGCGGAGGCGGTGGCTGGGGCGGCGTCGGTGGTGATGCGTTTTCTTTGAGAGTAGCGACCGGCGACTGAGTCGACGGTGATGTCGACGGTTTCGACTGTGGCATTTGTGGCGGGGAAGATATCAGACTCTCCAGGTGTGATTTAAATTCCTCCCTTGATGAAATCGGGCGAATGGTTGGCTGCAACGCTTCGGAAGCCCATTCGGGCAAGGTATTATCTTCATCAGCGTCAGTTGTCGACTCATTGTTTGGCACGATGACGCTGTCTGAGTCGCCTTCGTCAGTGGTACCAGTGTTTTTCAGGGGCTCCTCAGTTTGGAAGGATACTCCTTTTGAGGGCGATTCAAACAAGGCTGGCTTTTCGTTGACGTTCTCTATAAAGTCAGGCGTTAGAAGAAACTCACTGATCTCTGATTCCAGTTGACCATTTGTTTCTGGCGCTGCCCAGGTACTTTCTTTAGCCTCGCACTGGCTTTGCGCATCATCCACGATATAGTCCGGTGCTGGTATTTCTGGCACAAGCTCTAAATTAACGTCTTTGATCACTCCTGAAGATGTCTTTGTTGTTGTGTCTGATTCGTTCTTACGGAGTTCCTCAGAAAAAGCGTTGTGTGTCTCAGACGCACCTGACGTGGAACGATCTGTTGTGTTTATGCTGTTAGTGCCTGTGGAGTCATTTTTCCCGATGTCCCCATCACTGGCTGTCTCTTCATCAATTCCAGTCTTATGTAGATCTTCAATTGCCAGGTAGATTCCGGAATAACTCAGATTCATATTCTCGTATTCGTTCGTTTTGTGGTCACCGTGTGACGACCTTGGGTGGACATCGTTGTCTTCTGTCGATGTTGCGCTCATCTTGTCGTCTCCGCCCTCTCCGCCAACTTTAGGGAGAGTATCCGGTACAAATCCGTGATTTACGAAGCCGTTCTCGACCATCTCCTCACGTGCCCCGCCAATCTCTTTCAGACTCTTTCGCGACAGAAGTGAATTTGTCGTTTGTATAATAACACTGGCACCAACCGGCTTGTCGCTATTGGCTTTCAAATTGTCCATACTGCTTGGCAGCTGTGCTTTTCGAATCTTTATAACAATGACAACGATACATAGAATAAGTGCCCCGACGATTACCGCCAACGGAATAAGGACACCATAAAAGACATCGGCCGGATAACCTTCAATCATGGAATCCTGGAAGAAAGAAAATATGAAATCAAAACAAAGTATAACTATTGAATGTTAACATAAATACTTCATAGCCATCAACAAATCAAATACATTCACGTAGATCGTTATATTTCCCTCATTTTCACCTGACAGTTTCAATGGTTCCCAAACGGCGAGGCGCGCCTCATAGGCACGGCGGGAGAAGATAGCGGGTGAAGCGAAATGATTTAAAGACAATCAAAGATTTAGAAACAGTTTTAAAAATTCATATGCCAAAATTAAATATGATTTCAAAATTTAAAATATTATCATAGATTACTTGTAATTGCATGCATGAATTACAGTATAAGTAGTTATAAATCATTATTGAACGATTTTATCAGTGATATTTTTTTGCATTATATTAAGTATTAGGAATATAGTGACTAGAGTCTGCAAACCGGAGAAGAGAGTTATCAATGATAATGTTCTGACTTCGAATCTGTGATTATCTCCCTTTAACCGTCTCTCTGGATCTTCTTTGCCTTATGGCAGCTTGCACATTTTGAGTTCTGGATTTTCAGTTCTGACAAATACCAAAAAACAAAAAAAGGGAAAGGCTTCTTAGTGTTGATGAGGAGATGAGAGTTTGCTTACCTCAAATTAGGACTAAGAGACTACTTTCCAAAAACAAGCTCATACTAATCATATTATAAATTATTGGTACTATATATATATATATATATATATATATATATATATATATATATATATTGGTTTGCATAATTATCAGGCATTTTTGTAGGCGAGTTATTGTGTATAAAAATTGCTGTTTTATTTACTTTTTTTTAATACAAATATTATTTTATTTTCAGGTTATAAAAATGCATGTCGATAATCATACGGCCCGGAAAAATCATTTAAAAACCTTATTGTTAAATTTTTATGTTTCTTTTTCATAATAAATTTTGTTTAAATGCACCAACCCAATATAATATAATATAATTTAATATAATATAATTTAATATAATATACATGTTAATATATATATATATGTATATATATATATATATATATATATATATATATATATATATATTATATTTTATTATATTATATTTTATTATATGTATGTTACATTATATTATATATATTATATTATAATATATATATTAATATATATTATATATATATTAATAGTGTTTAAGCCTTTTTATTATATCCTTATTCTGTCCTGGACATTGAGTTCTACCTGGATTCTATCCTCTCGGAATTTTTTATTCAAAAAAATACATATATGTGTATGCACCTATGTATATATACCTATATATTTTGCATATGTGCGTGTATATTTACCACTAAATATCTATCTACCTATCTATCTATCTATCTATCTATCTATATATATATATATATATATATATATATATATATATATTATATTTAACACAGTATTATTTGTTTTGTTTTTTTATGTACTTTTTAAGACATTGGTGAGGCGCGAGCACATGAAAATTCGGCCCAGCGAAATAAAAATTGAAAATCACTAGTTTAAATTGACTCAGTTGTGAGAAGTAAAGATATTGTTCACAATATGGACAAATCTAGCGAAACAGGTTCAGTTAATTTCTATTCTACTTTTTGTTTATGTATCCGAATTCTTCCGTAACTTTGACAGCTACATTGATTTTTTTTTTATTGATGCACATTTTCTTCAAACAGTGAATTTTTCACATTTCCTGTTTTAAACCAAATAAAATCATAACCGTCCTTGTTTAAATCAATTGTGGATTGTCATGTCTCCTTGGGGAAAGTTAATGTAGTTATTTCCTATTATTTTCCGTCTCCAATAGTGGTTGCCGCACAAGGCTAGAAACCCAAGTCAGCAAATATGGACAAACGTGTCCACAAGACGTAGAGTCAAAAAGGACGTTTTTTCGCATGACACCGCCTTTTTTCCCATACTACCTTCACTCTTCGGCAATTGGTCTTAAAAGCGATGTTTAGAATTGGAAAAAAGACTGAACATATGATGAAAGTTAGTTTATACATTTTTTTTTTTGTTCTTGCGAATTTACAAACACATATTAAACTATATTCATTTATCAGATTGTTTATTTACAAGAATGATTTAAAATTTACAACATTCTAAAAACTAATACAATTACAGTGTAACCCGGATATAAGAGAGTTGTCGGGACCGGAGAAGAAGTTTCTTATATCGGGGTTTCTCTTATATCCGGGTTTGGTCTATTTTATATACATTAACACAGGCTCTAATTTTGGACCAGAGAAAATCTCTCTTATATCCGGGTTTCTCTTATATCCGGGTGTCTTATATCCGGGTTACACTGTAACACTAATGAAATGCAATATTCATCATTTATAAAGAATATGAAAATTTTTTTTATTTGTTAATTTACAAACATTTACTAAATTATTAAAATTTGTAAACCAACTAGGAGGAAATCCTTATTATTTACAATTGTATAAAGTTTGAATCAATTGGAAATTAGCCAATGTTTTGCCAACAATTCCATTAATTATAATGAATAAATATTGTAAATAGTTTAGTTTAAATGATATTTATTATTTTTGTAATCATTTCTCAAGTACAAATGATATGTATAAATTCACTTGCATATGTTTAGGGTTTTTTTCCAATTGTAATCATCACTTTTTAAAACAATAAACATTGCCAAAGAGTGAAGGTAGTTAAAAAAAACGATGTATAGGAAAAACCTTCCTTTTGACGCTCCGTCTTATTGTGTGAACGTTTGTCTATATTTGTCGACAAGTCTACATGATACTTAACCCACAATTACGAGAGATTTTTATATTATTTCACACATTCAATTTCATACATTAGTGCTTCTAAAAATTATTTCTATGAAGAATAAATGACTAAGGACATCTTGTCCAATGTCTATGACGTAACAGGAAAACTTTAAACTTTTATAAGTCGTACATACTTTGAATATTGCTACCACATATGGCCCAGTGTTCCTGCTGTATATTTAGAGATTCCTGACAAAATCCAAAGAAGAATCTGGAATAGTCCTGACCTGGCGACTTGGCTTCATGTTATATTCCGTGCTAATACGAATATATACTTGAAAAACACGATGGATAAAATAAGTAAAGAATTATTGTAAAAACCAATGCAATAAAGGTAACAGTTATGCACAAGGTCGTCGCAAGTCAATCCAGTAGTGAGTGCTACTATTAAAAGGCCGGTAGTTCTCGCGTAAGTCGTACTCAACAGATCCCAGTTAGAAATATTTACCATCCTCCCCACGAGGTAGGATGTGGCACAAGGCCGAATTTAATGTGGGGCAATCCGAGCCCGTATAAACGGGTTCGGGTCTGTTTACCTCCCCGGACGAGACTCTGTCCTTCTGCATAGACTCTTCCGGGTTCCTCTCTGCCCGAAGGCAGAGAGTTCGGCAACAGCTAAGAGCTGAATAACAGATCACAGCTAGTATATTTAGCTACCCCCCCCACGAGGGTTGCATGTGGCACAAGGCCGGTTTAACGTGGGTTCTTCGAGTCCGTAGACTCGGCCAAAAATTTTCCCTTTCGAACCCGTATAAACGGGTTCAGGGGCAGTATACCTCCCCGAACGAGACTCTTCCCTTCAGCGGAGCCTCGTCCAGGTTCCTCTCTGCCCGAAGGAAGAGAGTTCGACTGTTTAGCTGGAACAGGTCGCAGCTAGGCTCTGTAGTCCGTTGACATACTGCTACTTATAGGGAGTTACTACCTATAGTGTAGTTACTCACGGGGTGACAGGTTATTCCATCACATCACGTCAGTCACTTTCCCGCCGTCATAATGTAGCTTCCCTGTGCCTTTTCTATAAATACTTTCATGGTAATTGTTCGGATGAACTCTTTGCTATGGTGCTTAGACTTTATGAATTTAAGCACAGTACTAGATTGGCTTCATCAATTCACAGTTGAATTGGCAAGATGAGACCATAAGCTTTCTGCTAACAGTTTCTTCTATCGCACTTCTCGCTTGTGGAACTCTCTTCTGGTTTCATGCTTTCCAGCCAACTTTGATCTTCAAAAATTTAAACACAATCTACTGTCTTCTTGATTACTCTTCTATTCTTCTCGCTCCTTCATAATGTTACTCTTTTTTCTTATTCTTTCACAGTAATCCCTTGTGTCTTAGTGGCTTTACTGCCTTGCATGGGGTGAAATGATTAAAAAAAATAGTTATCCGAAGAACATTAAGCAGAATTTTTTTCATTTCATTTGTAGTTCCGAAATTCGATTTTTCTTCTTCTTTTTTTTTAACCATTGCATGAACAATACACACAACTATATCAATGTTAGCATCCCACTCTACAACCTCTTTTCTCACATATGCAATGCTGCAGGCCGATTGCTACTCTATTGAAATTTCCGTATGCAAATTTTCAGATGAGCTCCACTCTTCAGTTCCACCAGTTCAGACACTTATTGTTAGGAGACGCCATACTAGTTCCACGGAATTGACTCGCTGACATTTCCTCTGTATTCCAAATGTAAAGAAAAAGGGTGTACTCAGAAAGTTTTTCCCTAAGAACTGTCATTTCGTGGACCAAACTCCTGATGGATATTTCCCTGAACGCTACAAACCTAACCTCGTCCAGTCTTCATCGATCTCCTTATCCTCATAATCTTCACTTTCTCCCACCTCTTTTATACTTATCCCTCCTCATTCATCATAGGCTTACGGCCATATCACGTTGAAATACCGGTTCCCGTACGATCACCGAAGTTAAGCAACGTCTAATCTGGTCAGTACCTAGATGGGTGACTGCTTGGGAATATCAGATGCTGTAAGTTTGGATGAGCGGGTGATATGACTTACGGCCATATAACGTTGAAACACCGGTTTCTATACGATCATCAAAGTTAAGCAACATCTAATCTGGTCAGTACCTAGATGGGTGACCACTTGGGAATATCAGATGCTGTAAGCTTAGATGTGCGGGTGGTGTAATGGATAATTTCTCTGAATTATTAATCGGATAGCCGTGTTCCGATATATCTCGGGTGGGATATATTCACTTACACGCAAATAACCTTAGTAAAGTTTTGTACTCTCCTCTTATTTCCCAGCTATGGGTTAAATAGTATAGTATGAATCGATCTCTTGTCTCCCTAACTATGGGTTGGATAGCAGATTGGTACAATAGCCTTGGTTAGCAACCAGTCTACAACAGAAGGAAACGGTAGGAAAGATTCTGCTTCATCAGGTATGAATCAAAACAAGAAATATGATCGTCCAAGCGTGTATTATGTATGGCACTTGATACTTAAATGCATTTTTTTTGTCATATTGATCATAAATATTTTTCTAGTGTATATATATGTGTGCGTTTTGCGACTGTTTGTTAATTTTAGATGAGTCGATATTTATAAACTGTTACTTGCCGTTTACACAATAACAATTCAAATAAACTGAAAAATTTACACAAAACGTCTTCTTCACTTGCAGCAAATCGGACTTGATTCAATATTCAAAGAAAATATTCAGTTTAAATAAATACAACGAAGAAGTGTAAGAAAGGAAAGAATACTGTGAAATTGCCGTGACAAAGAAATAAATAAATCGCAAACTAAAAGCAATAGAATAAAAAAAGCGGTGAGGGAAGGATTCTAAGTGACTGAAAAAGTGAATGTGTGATATTTAATATTTTTCTCTTGTTTCAGATTTTTAGCCTCTCTATCTCTCTCTCTTTCTTTCTCTCTCTCTCTCTTTCTTTCTCTCTCTCTCTCTCTCTCTCTGTCATTGTTATGCTCATCAGATTTTGGGAAAGCCCCCAAAAGGCCGTGACGTATTCTCTAATCGTGAAGATTAGAAAAATTCGCTAAGGGACGTAACTTCAATTTAATTTTATATTTATATATATATATATATAAAATACCTTCAAAAACACTATCCCATATATATGTGTGTGTGCGTGTGTGTGTGCGTGTGTGTGCGTGCGTTCGTGCGTGCGAGTGTGTGTGTGTGTAAATTATTTTTAGATAAAGTGTATCTGTGAAAGAAGAAAATAAATAAAACGACAAAAGGAAAACCTATTCTTACCCGATGCGTTTAATCTTCTGAGTGACACATTTACCTTGATAAAAGTCTCTCAGTGGACGAAACGTGTCGGTTAAAAATAGTTTTTCCTCTTATCATTTTATTCGTATATATATATACATTAGAATTATACTCCATTTGTTCTCATTTCACTTGGATATATATATATATATATATATATATATATATATATATATTCTAATATTCGCTTGAAGATGAAACGGAAATAATGGTTTAGTTATATAATTAAATTTAAAGTTTTTAACTTCCATTTTTGAAACATGGTTATTACTGTGTAGCGAAAAAAAACATATTTTAAATCAGTTACTGTATTTATGCTCTGTAAATTTACATTCAGCCATGTTTTGTAAGATAAAAAAAATATCAATATGAACACCGGATTGTATATCTTACTGTTCTTTCTTTATATATATATATATATATATATATATATATATATATATATGACTGATCCTAACTGTTATCTTTGCTCATATCTTGATATTAAGAGGTGAGGAGCCCAGTTAGCGAGCCAACAACAACTCAACTGAAAACTACTGTGTGGTCTCGATCTTATTCACAAAATGGTAGTACCGATATAAATCACTTAGTGATACTGTAACCTCCTTAAGGGTTACTTTATGTTTCGGATCCTTGGTTATCAAGCGGATGGCGCCAGACCAGAAAATCGTTTACATCTACCTCCCTTGATAAAGAAACAACTAATCCAGAGTTGGGCAAAAATTACAGACTTACCACACAAGGTGAAACCATGACGTTTACTCAGGGATCAAAGCAGTAGAACTTCTTCATAAGCCAGAAACATTATGCCTAAACGGAGTAAAACTTGTTCTATTATACTAAAGGGCCTACTGGAAGAAGGGGAAGCTATAAATGCTGCTCATAGATTAACTGACATTTCCTAACTTCTTTATGCTTCGGTTCTTTGATATTCAGCGACTGATATTTTTTCTCTTTTGCTTCTCCGATATTTGTATCCTTGTTTAGATAATCAATTGTGTGCAAGGAAGCCACATTTACGTGCAAGTGATTGAGTTTATCTACGCTACATTGAATGCTGCAATGAAAGGTGTTTGTGATTTTGTTTTCCAATCGGCGCTTTCTGTGCAGTGAAACATGAAATGGTGGCTAAAAAAACGAAAACAATAGTCATTACGTCATTTTTAGTTCCGGCTTCAAGGTTTCGATTCTTGGTGGCATCTCAAAACCGACTCATTTCGTTGAAACTGTATCAGTTGCCGTATTAACCAACAACTTGGCGTCCATTCCATTGTCGACTTCAATTCTTCTGTCTGCCTGCAATGCTTCATGTTTCAATTCGCTTTATTTCATATTTTTTCTTTTCTTTTAAAAATTCACATCAAGCAAAATTTTGCCTGTCTCAACCTTACATTAATCGAACAAAAGACCCCCCCAGTCTTAACACGTAAAAGAAAGGTCACCAGCTTTTTTATATATATATATATATATATATTACTGACAAATGGCATTTACAGCATTAGCGGTGATATTCGATTTGCATAACAATTTTTTAAAAGTATATTCTAAATATTTATTACGTGCTATCTATTTTAAATTCAATCTTTTAAAATGTCACACATAAGCAATGTATCTATCGATATTCTTTTAAAAATTCATCGTGTTTGTATAGAAGGAATTTTTATCTGCCAAGCCAAGATTCATTCGTAAGTAAGAAAACTTGCAACGTTTATAATAAATATTGTTGTCATCGGCTATTTCACATTAGTACAAACTGGAGATGAAATTATTGAATTATCTAAATAAGTCAAAATAGTCTGTTTAATTAGATTTTCTTAAAACTGTACCGAATTATTTAAACGAGTAGAAACACTATGTTTGCTGAATTAATTATTGTCATTATTAAGAGGAAGGAATTCTGGCTCGGATTGAGGAATCTGAGAGCGGAGTTTGAATTTCAGTCGAGTTCATTACATTCACTTGGGAAAGGTATATATGCAACTCCTTTCTCCTCATGTATGAGTAAATAGTAGGACAAACTGGAATCTATTGCCTTGCTTGGCAATCAGTCTAGGAGAAGGAAAACTCATAATTCAAGACTGCATGTATCCCTGCTGAAGCACTTACTATTCAACTAATAAAAGGATCCTACACAGTGACTAGATGATCCTGACTACGGTCGACTCTTTCCATTATTATTATTATTATTATTATATTTCCTTTGATTTCTGGTGTATACTCATTTCTTTCCGAGTCCCACCCAGAGACCTATGGTCAGAAATGGCATCGTGACATTTTCCATTGAGGAATTAAAAAAAAACATATTTTACATAAAACCCTTCGTATTATCATAAACATTAGAAAATTATTAAAATCTCATTACCAAAGTAGGAAATTCAAATAAAACTTTATAAAATAGATGTCTTGCTTGAAAATGTTTATGCAGAAATTTTAATAAGTTAAGAGAACGTCGATGAAAACCTTTATTAGGACGGGTAAATCAGCTAGTAAGAAAAATCGTACAGATTATAACAGGATTAAATTAAGTTTGATATGACTTCAACAATTCAAAGGAGACCTTTTAACAGAATTGTGGTAAAACGTACTATTCAAATTCCTGATAAAACATTTGATAGCTACGACGTCAATGAACAGTGGTTAACAAAGCTGGTAAACTCATAATGAATTCTATTCCCACTTGAGGTTTTATGTCAGGCTAGGAATATACGATTATAATAAAAGCAGCGATGAAAAAGAAAAAGTAATTAATTTTCTTTTAATTCTGTTCGTAACCTGCCATTGCAAACACGTACAATTTACTAGTGCACGGGGACGTTTGCTATTCTTTACATTAGTGTATCTTTAGTGTGACCTGATTGGCTAGCCGATAAAAAAATTTCTTTCTTAATAACAGGTTGTCAAGATCATCATCGGTATGTGTTACCTGCAGGCCTGGGAGATTAAATTTTAATGTCCTATCCCTTTAGGCCACCATGGTTCTCTACAGGTTTTTGTCGTTATTATCTGTGGTTTGCCAAGTATTCTTGGGGGAGAAAGTGGAGTGCTTTCCCGTTGCTTTTTCCACGGTGTGGAATTTCAATTTTATAGATAGATAGATAGATAGATAGATAGATAGATAGATAGATAGATAGGTAGGTAGGTAGGTAGGTAGGTAGGTAATGAACAGGCTTAGATAGATAGATAGATAGATAGATAGATAGATAGATAGATAGATAGATAGATAGATAGATAGATAGATAGATAGATAGATAGATAGATAGATAGATAGATAATCAGTTTATGCTATTTCGTAGCTGTACACGAATACTTTCAAGCAAAACAGTAAGTACTTCCTTTCTTGAAATCACTAATAAATGTTTCCAAAATTATTTCAGCTATAAATACTGGATTTCCAACATCGTTAAGCAAAAAATAGTCAAACGTCCCGATCGTAAATACAAGGAATGGTCAAAGAAGCAAGAACGTCACGCTTGTTCATATTTAATTACTCAAGATTTAGTTGTGTCCAGGCGCACCAAATATTGCAGAATGAACACATAAAGCAGTATCAGGATTCCAAATCTTGTCTTTAACATAATCAACTTTCTTCTCAATTGCGGAACTTCCACCTTGGAATCGTGGTATCTTAGAAGCTGGTTTCTTTACACTGTGCGGGCAGCCTTTTTTTTCACCTCTTAAAATATGCAGAACTGATATTCCCTGAGTGCCTCCTTTATCGGCCGTGTTGTGCTGCAACTATACTATATGATTCATAGGGTCTGTTACTATTTTTACCTGTTATCATTCTTTCTTGGAATCCCCTTTGCCCAGACCAAGAGACTGCACTAAAATGCAAGCACCGTGACTCGCCTGAAGGCTTTCACAGAGTCCTTAAAATAATGATTCTTCCCACAGCCGTAATTAGAGAATTAACCTGTTTGGTCTCCTTCCCAGCGACTGCTAGCCTGCCACGGGGAGTTTTGTTATTACGATAAGTTTGTCCTTTCTATCTAGATATGCCATTAACTCTATTGACAACTCTTCTTACTGTAGTGTTTTTTTTTTTACTTACTGGGTATATTTGTAGCACTTTTCCCTTCAGAAAAATAAAAGTTATATGTATATGACAACTCTTGTTTCTACGTGTGTCCAGAGAGGTAGCCATTTTGAATGTCGATTATGGACAGAAGAAAAGAACGTAAGGCCATAAATATTTTTCCCTGGGATTCTAGACATTTTCTTCTAGACAATTTATAACCAAAATAATTTTTTTAGAAAATTAAATCTCGAAGAATTCAAATACTTTTAAAATTCAATTCAAACAGATATTAGATTTTTAACTATCCTCGTAAACATTTCAAATAGACCGTCTATCGATACAAAAATAAATGTATATCACTTTTCTTTTTATTGATTTCTTTTTTCTCGAGGCCCTCGATTAAATACAAGATCCGCATGTTTACATGTAATTCATAGATATTTTGTTAAATATTAATCTATTCAATAAACATCGGAATACTTTAATCGATGTCTAGATTTCCGACCAATACGTTTGCTTTTCTTCATTTTGACAAATGTACGTGGCAGGTTTAACGTACGAGGTCTCGTCACATTGAAATCTTTACCGTCTTGATTAACTATTTTGTAGGCGTTAAGAACAGGCTCCTTATCCACAACATCTGCTTCATTTGGTAAGACCGAATTGACATAATAAAAACCAGTTCGACCATTGTCTGTTTTAGGCGTTACGTCATCTGCTTCATCATCAGCCTCCTTTCCATCATCGTCCTCTTCTTTTTCATCCGGATTAGTACACATCGGGTAGCTGACAGGGGATAACCCACCCGGTGGTGGTGGTGGTAGTGGTGTCGGGGGTATCGGGTGACATGCTCTAAATACTGATTGGCTGTCTGATTCAGCAGACGAAAACGTTACTGAATATTCGTTATCGAAAATAAAATCGAACAATTTAAGTGAATGAACCGTTTCTCCGTCGGAATCGGATGGTTCGTATAATTCCGAAGACATGACGGTGGCACAGTCGGAGCGGATAGATAGATCGGCACATTGGGATAAGGAATCGACCGTACCGCTGCTGTCGATCGATCGCGACCGTGAAAAACATGAAGGCCCGTCGTCCAATTTACTTGAAACGCGGCCATTTGCATCGGCATTGCATTCATCACTGAAAATATTCAGTTCGGAATTAGTTTTCTGCTTTGCTTTGGCCTCTCTTTCTCTTTCTGATTTGGAATCATTTTTTTGCTTGTCAGCACCGTTTTCCGCTCTCTCTCTTTTTGGGGACAGTTTTTCCAGAGTGATTTGTTTTTGTGGCGAAATCCTGGGAATTGTATGTCTGTGCACTATTTCGTACTGGTCGATGCCATCAAAGGAAATCGTTTTCGGAAAGCCATTGTCTTTGGTTCTATCATCGCAGCATCTTAAACTTGACGTTCTTGTTTGATACCTTGACGCTCTCGGACTATTCATACTGATCTCCATTGATGTTTCCACATCTCGGAAAGGAACAGCCATCGGTTTAGTTGCTTTAGCCATGTGAATGTTTGATTCGGCACAAGGAATGTCCACGATAAATTGTCCATGGGAATTTACACGACCGAAATGACAACGAGATGAGTTAGAAGAACTTGACCTGACCGAGGCACATGGTGATATTGGCTCTTGTTTGCTTTTGGTCGAACAAAAAGATGTGTAGTCTTCCATTGCTAAATGATGCCGATGCAAAGTGGCAAGCGTTGTTTCGGGATCTGGCCAGGCTACAGAGGATGAATTTAAGAAGATGTTTTCTAACGACTGACTTGTAAGGCAACTTTTTCTTGATAAATCATCCTTTTCAGAAGAAGACGAAGACGAATAATTGTGATTCGCGAATTTGGACACCGATAGATTTTCTGCAGAAGAAGAACTCATTCTTGCAATTGTTTCTTCTTTCATTCTTTCATTTTTGAAATCCTTTTCGTTTTTCTGTTTCTCTGACGCTCTCTTTTTTTGCAAAGCTGAAGCCAAAATCAACTCCAATTTTGCGCGTATATTTAAATCTGCTTCCAGACACGGTTGCGTCGCCACTGGTTCCAGATAAACGTTTTCTTCGTGTGTTTTTTCGTCGCCTTTCGATCGATTTTGATTTACAGTATATGAAAGCTCAGTCATACGGTTTGAAAGGTGCGCCACACTATCACCAATCAAAGTCGTGTACTTAACGTTGATGTATTGCGGATCATCTTCCTCGAAACTATGAATCTCCCCAGTTGACATAGTGTTGGTAACGGGAGTGATATCAGTTTTTCGTGAGGGTAAAGTTGGGGGTGTCCGCCTTCTTTGCTGTGAGGAATCCCTTAAACAGGTATCATGCGCATCAGTTCGTGTTTCAGCAGATGATGATGTATCTATATTGGGATCCTTTGGACGGTCATTTGAAAAGGAAACTGCCGGCGAGGAGTGCGTCTGACGCCGAGTTCTCTCTGATCTTTTAGGCAATCGTTCCAAGGTTTTACTGTGTTTTATATTTGATCTGCGGGTTTTCTCTAAAGAACGCAATTTGTTTTCAAGACTTCGACATGCTCGTTCTCTATCTTGTATGTCGGTAAACTTTGTTCTGTTTGACTTGGAACCTGAGTGGCTGACTTTATGAAAGGGGCTTCTTGAACGCTGAGTGGTGTTTATCAGACTATGTCTTGTTCTTTTCGATAAGTGAGGAGCATGTACTTGTTTATTTAAAGTCATTTGTCTCTCTTGAACAAAAAGTGAGCTTCCTGGATTTATGGGTGGCTTCTCAGCTGTATGCTTCAAACTTTTGTTTATTTGAGTCTGTTCGTCATAAGACTGTGCCGACTGTCTTCTTTCTTTATTTGCAAATTTTCTGGGTGGTTTAGCGGGTGTTAGACGCTTTATTTTGTTAGTACAAGGAATTGGCGGTGCTATCTCTGTGGGCATGTTTGGATCTTTTTTTTCGCATTTGATACGCATGCTGGGAGAATGACTTTGTTCTGGGCCGGGATGTTCTTTTCCCAGCTTGCAATGGTTGTCACGTAATGATGGCACGTCCACACGCAAGTTTCGACCATCATTTGGCCAAGTCAGACTACTACTGTCTTCGGTATCTCTTCGTTTGGTTGAGCTTCGAGACATTGAATAACTTGGAGATTCGGATATCGGGGTTGGGTAATCAGACACATATGTCTCCAGTGTTCCATTTGTGACCATTTGGCGTCTTATTTTCCGGGAAGCGGACGAATAGGAAGATCTGAAAGTACCGAAATTGGAACCACTAGGCGATTTGCATTTAAGAAATATTTCTTCTGACTTAGCACGTCTCCTCACGAATTCTTCCAACTGATCATTTTTCGGGATTTGTTCACTACGTATTGGTAACGCTATAGACCGTAAAGATTTTGGATTTTGACGTTGGTTGTTTTCCAAGGCGTCCGCGACTTGCTTAAGACGACTTTTGACAGTATTGTTTGTCGATGACTTCCTTCTTATAGGCTGTTCTCTACTGGAACGATCCGACGCCATTTCATCGCTATCACCGTGAAGTATTGTAGTCATGATTGTGTTACTTCCCATATAACCTTCACAGCGATGTTTGTCCCGAATTGGAAATACTTTGGTGGATAGATTAGGTCGGGTAAAGTAATCTTTAGAATCGGGTAGGGGATCGTGTACTTGTCTTTTTCGACGAATCCAGAAAGCCAAACCAAAGAGAGAGAAAAGAAAAATGACCGAAAGAAGTACGCCTAAAAGTGTAAACAAGGCACCTACCGAAACAGAATCGGGGGTCTGCGTTGACATGGCAACGGTCGAATTCTGAAAAGGAAACAATACAATACATAAATTCATTTTGCTGAATAACTGAAGAAAATAACACGATTCTAATATCTAATTATATATATATATATATATATATATATATATATATATATATATATATATATATATATATATATAGGATGATTTTATGCATGATGGACTCTCCCGTCTTGCAAAAGATATAGTCCATCATCCATAAAATGGGGAGTTCCATTTCAATCCCCAAAATATATATATATATATATATATGTGTGTGTGTGTGTGTGTGTGTGTGTGTGTGTGTGTGTGTGTGTGTGCATGTATAGGAAGAGAGAGTGATTGAAAAGTAACTCCCTTTTTATGTATGATAGACTCTCCCGTCTTGCAAAAAATATAGTCAGAATCCTTCATACATGAAATGGGGATTACTTTTCAATCACCCTGTATATATATATATATATATATATATATATATATATAGAGAGAGAGAGAGAGAGAGAGAGAGAGAGAGAGAGAGATGGGAAGGGAGAGATACAGACAGACAGACAGACAGACAGACACACCGACAGAGACAGGGATACAGTTGGGAGTGATTGAAAAGTAACTCCTATTTTATGTATGATAGACTCTCCCATCTTGTAAAAAATATAGTTAGATCAATCACTCCCTCTTTCTCGTCATGGGAGTCGGAGTGGATGATAATGAATCTAGAAAGAAAGAAAGAAAGAAAGAAAGAAAGAAAGAAAGAGACTGAGATAGATAAAAACAGACTGGAATAGATAGATAGATAGATAGATAGATAGATAGTGAACAGACTGTCTTGTTTTTTTCAATCGGTTCTAAGTAGCATTGTGTCCTGATATGAAATTTGAATTCAATTTTCATGTCTACTTACTCGATCTAAAATGTCGATTATCAAAATGGCAACTGAAAAATGTTTGAGTGTTGATTGTTCTTCAGCCTGCGAAATTCGAGAAAGAGAAAAATGGGAACAAAATCAGAAAAAAACATTTCCTGCATTTTTCAACAACAACAAAAAATAACGAAAAACTAATTCTTCTTCTCTTTGTGTTAATGTGTGTGTGTGTGTGTGTTTCGTGGGGGTGGGGGGCATTTGCTTGAGTGTATGCGTCTTTGTCATTAGGAGTATCAACATGAGTTCATGAATAAAGATTATTCAATAATTTTGCACCGAAAGTAAGCAATGTTGAGCCTGGTCAGTACCGAAATGGGTGACCGCTTGGGAATACCAGGTTCTGTATGTTTGGATGTGCGGGTGGTGTTATGGATAACGCCTTGGGATTGAAAATCGGAGAGCAGAGTTCCAATTCGAGTTGGCTTCGTTATATTCACTTACGCGCAAATAACTTGAATCAACCTCATTTCCCCCAGCTATGGGTTAATTAGTAGGACATATATCAGTAAATCATAATTATCTCCCAAAATTCTTAGAATCCAAAAATATTTTCTGGCTTTAAATAAGATGAAAAGGGTTGATAATCCGTAAAAATCAAATCAATATTTTTACTCTTATTAGCATCAGAGAAAAACGTACAAATTCTCTATCTTTATTTTTGTTTGTTTTTAACCTCGAATCTCTTTAACATTAAATTGAATGAATGTTAGATCTTATTTAGCCTATTTTCCCCAATACAAGACCCAAGAGCCACTCAATGTAGAGGGTAACTGAATAGCGTTGTTTCATGGATATAAGGATTGTAAATGATTGACCGGCTAAGACCGCCTGCGGAGGGACGCTGAGCCAACGATCGACATTCTTTCTTGTGACGTCAGTACTTCTACTGCCTCTTAGAATACAAGCTGCCGGTATTAATAAAACAAATCCCCAAAAGAAATGAACCCTTTCGTTGATACCGGTTTATGTAGTAGCGTGGGCATCCAGAGATGACACAGAACGCAACACTAGTAAGTAATCACATGTTATCAATTAACTGGCAAATAGAAGCGCTTTAACTTTTTTTGGTAATCTATCTATGGATGGTGTCTGGATAAAAGCAACCATTCCACGATAGTTTGACAACTCTTGGGGATGCATCGGCCTAAAAATGGCACTACGTCTGAAATTCTGAATAAAGAAGCATTTACATATAATACAGTCGCACTCCTGTTATATCAAGTATCATTGAGCTGTGATTTAGTTGGATGTCCTTGATATCTCTACAATCATAGGCGGACGTAGAATGCGCTTTGCAGGACACTGCTGGCGAGCAAAACAAGAGCTTGCGAATGATCTACTGCACTGAACACCGAGCCATGGCGCAAAATGGGTTTGTCGCCCACTAACATTGTCTATGTTATGACCCCCTAATGACCTTCCGACCTTGATGTAGGACGGTGAAGGTTAGCCTGATAGACTCATGAATGTCTAATATAGCTTGACTGAATAATATAACTATCAGCTTCATAAATAACAATAATATAATATCAATAACATAATGATATTTGGTGATATATGCAGTGTTATATTATCTAGACCAGTGTTTCTCAGCGGTTGATTAAAGATTATTCAATATTTTTGCACCGAAAGTAAGCAACGTTGAACCTGGTCAGTATCGAAATGGGTGACCGCTTGGGAATACCAGGTTCTGTATGTTGGGATGTGCGGGTGGTGTGATGGATAACGCCTCGGGATTGAAAATCGCAGAGCAGAGTTCCAATTCGAGTCGGCTTCGTTATATTTACTTACGCGCAAATAAATTGAATCAACCTCATTTTCCCCAGCTATGGGTTAATCCAAGATAGCTTGACTGAATAATATAACTATCAGCTTCATAAATAATATAACAATAATATAATATCAATAACGTAATGATATTTGCTGATATATTCAGTGTTATATTATCTAGACTAGTGTTTCTCAGCGGTGGACCACATAGCATTTCTAGTGGTACACAAAATAAAATTTCATAAAAAAATTGTAGACATTTCATAAAAATGTATCTAAATTATTCATACTTTGAAGAATTAAGAGATATAATTTTTTTTTTAATTACACACACATCGATTATATTTGAAAATTTTGAAATTACATAGGTATTAAGAAGTGCTATATTTAATTAATTTTTTATCATATATATTTATTAGACCTAGAAAATTATGAGCCAGGAGATGAAAATGTTGAGTTGGTTGAAATGTTACTGGACTTGACAGAGAATGCGAAAATGAGAAGAAAAGTCGACAGTCTTTGCCAACATATCGATAAAGGAATCACACCCAAATATTTTCCAACATGTAGAAGGAAACATCATTTCTTTCTCAACCACATGGATGGTGGAATCTGCATTTTCGGCTGTTATGGATGTTTTCAGCAGAAAAATAAATATATAAGATTTAAACAACAAAGACTAAGACTGAATGACACCATCAAAATTGACTATGATATCTTGTGTCAGAAACACCAAGGTCAAGGTAGTCACTAGCTGAATGGACTAAGACTGAATGACATCATCAAAATTGATTATGATATCTTGTGTGAGAAACACCAAGATCAAGGTAGTCACTAGCTGAATGGACTAAGACTGAATGACACCATCAAAATTGACTATGATATCTTGTGTCAGAAACACCAAGGTCAAGGTAGTCACTAGCTGAATGGACTAAGACTGAATGACACCATCAAAATTGACTATGATATCTTGTGTCAGAAAC